TTTTAATTTGACCCGAGAGAGAGAGAGAGTGAGAAAGCAAGCCGCCAGGTCCGGGACTCGAACCATGGTTGGCCACATGGGAGTTCAGCGCTCTCGACCACCACACCACCTCTGGCTCTCGTGAAGTCTCTAACTCAATTTTTTCTTCTGTTGAATGAAGGTGCCACTTTGTAGACTTTTGCATAAAGGCATTAACGCAGCAGATTAGAGACTGAAAAGACTTGTATGGCCGGCATCTGGGAAATTCGTATTTGGAGCGTCAACTGGGTAGTCAACACTTAACCCGTACGGGAAAGTTGACTAATTGTACAAAAACCCATGATTTATGCTTAACACCTGCTTTCCAACTAGAAGTTCAGAATTTTGGTCTGTGCTAGGCAGAGGGTGCCTACCTGATCAGCCCCCAATAAAGCCCCAGCCATTGACTCTCTAACTGGCTTCCCTGGGCAGAAACATGACTTGGGTGTGGCTGCATCTTCATTGCTAAGGGAGAAGTGAGCTCTGTGTGATCCCTCACGGAAGGAGTATGCACATGGATTCTCTCAGACTTTATTTTATTTTGAGAGGTTTTTGCTATAGGGCATGTGTGCCAGCTGCTGGTCCCTGTCTTTTCTTATGATCTAGTTTTGTATCTTTAATATACGACTGCAATAAATCTTAATCATGACTACAACTATGAGTCCCTTGAGTTCTAGGCAATCCCTGAATGTGTGGATGGTCTTGGGGCCCTCCTGGCACAGGTTAATACAAGCATTAAATGGCATAATAAATGCAAAGCATTTAACAGAATACTTAGCTCACAGTTTTCAAAATAAGAATGGTGATGGTCTTGGTGACAATGGGGATGATCAGTACGGAGCCATGCACTGGACAGGAGCCCAATGTCCATCTTTTAGTTTTCCATCCTCTCTCCCTATAAGCCATCATATCCCTTAGCCTCTTAGTGAATGCACAACCCAGTGCCTTTATAACAGCAACTCACTGCTGGTAAGTACCTCAAATTCAGCCTCCTGCTTTGTCCTATCAGAATAGCAAGACCCACGGACCAGGAGACGCGTAGCTGTTATGCTGCTGGACTCCCACATGTGCAACCACGGTTCAAGTCCTGGACCCAGTGGCTTCAAAATTACACCAGGTGTGTGTGTCTATGCATGCTAGCTAGGACCCTGAGAGAAGAATGGAGAAGGGATTGTGACATGGTCATCACCCCTGGGGGGGTGTGTGTGAGTGATTTCTTGCTTTCCATCTGTGTGTGTGTGTTTCTCTCTCTCTGTCTCTCTGGTGAGCGCATGCACCCTATAGCAAAAATCTTGCCAAAAAGAAAAGAATAGTGACCAGCAGTTGGCATAATGGCTGTGTTGCTGGACTCCCATGTAGTTGACTGAAGTTCGAGTCCTGGACCCGGTGGCTTAAGCTCAGGCCGGGTGCGTGTGCATGCGTGCCCAACATCCCGAGAGGAGAATGGAGAAGGGATTGTGGTGTTGCCATCCCCTCTGGGGGGTGATTTCTCGCTTTCTGTTTCTCTGTCTCTGTCTTTCTGGCAAGTGAACGTACCCTATAGCAAAAATAAATAAAAAATAATTTAAAAAAAACTCTCCATGAATAAATAAATGAGAAATCAATGACCAAATGTGATTTTAATTTTAAAAAAGAAAGGAAAAAGAAAGAATAGCAAGGCCCAGAGAGGGGGCATGAAATGATCGAGGTCAGGTAGCAAGTTGGTGAGAGTTGGCAAGAATCCAGGTTTGCCTTTTACATCCTACATTGGTTTCACTGTCTCCTGGGATACGGAATGCAGGTTAGGAGTAAGCACAGTTAACCTTGAAACAGGCTTTTAGGAGCCCAACTGCCGTGTGTGTGTGAGTGTGCGCGCGTGTATGAGACAGAGAGAGACAGAGAGAAAGAGAGAGCGCTGATGTAAAGGCAGAGTGAAGTCATTGATCGCCTGTATCTCCATTCGGGATGGGGGATGCATGCAGCGAGCAGGAGAGGGCACACCCGGGGGATGCCATCACAATGATCCCCAGCTGGAGGACGGGGTAAACAGGACGCAGGGAGCAGCCAGTGCACGCAGCCTAGAGGACGCACAGCGGAGAGCCCCACTTCGGACCACGGCAGGTGACCAGGACCCTCCGGGCGGCGCCCGCTCACGCAGCAGCCCAGGCCACATACATTGTAGATGGCGAAGACGTGAGATTGGGGGCCCAGAGATCCGCCTGGGCCGGGTCTAGAGAACTCAATCATCCCCGTGCCCCCACGGAATGTGCGGACGAGGGGAGCAAGCGAAGAGTACCCCGAAACGCTGCAGGGCGACTGAGACGGAGACGCAGGTCCTGCCGGGCTGACGGTGCCGGCTCCGCCGTCCCTCCGCCGCCCCGCCCGGCCGCCGCGCCCGCGCCCCCGGAC